TAGTTAGTAAAGTCAAGTTTTGGCCAACTCTCGCCAATGACAACGGTGTCGAATTGATGACGAAAAAGACTCGACATTTAGGTGATCTGTTTGGTAATGTGGTGAGTAGTGTGAATTTAGTACCTCCAGTAAAAAAGATTCTGAAGTCAAAATTATCTTTCTTCATCATCAATTGAATTACTCTAAGCGATCCGAGATTTTATTTTATCATCAAATCCAATCCCCTCTTACCTTCTTGTTTCACATAGAAATTCCAGAACTACTAGCCTGATTGAACTAAAAATACCTAAATTCCCACTAAACACGTTTTTTATGAAAAATTTATTATATGTTCATGAAAGGATTTCATACTAGTGCGTCCCACTATTAACTAGGGGTATCAATTTAGCTCACCAGCTCGGATCAAATCCCATTTTGTGATGTCAGCTTGAGCCTGAGCAATCAGTGTGGCTCGTCACGGGCAATTTTCGGCCCGTGGCGAATCAACCCTTTGAATAAAAAAGAAGAAGAAAATAATAGTAAAAAGGCAGTTGATACGTTGCAAATCACGTTCCAATTACTTTTTCTTAACTTAAAAGTGTCGTCTTAAATAGTAAAATGACAAGTAAGGGTCATTTCCTGTAGAGGATTGATTCAATTATGTCGATTGCATACTAGAAAGTAAAATTAAAAATAATATACGAACTATATTAAATGGGAGGGTTTGGTTCGTTGAACTAAGGAAAGCGATAAATTCAAAATAGAAAAGACTTGAAATTTGAAATAAACAAAGTGGTTCTTGATTGAATCCGAGAAAATGTGATTGAGGGGCATTTCATCACCATGAGAATGATTTTCATTTTAATTACCACAAAAGATTTTCGTTCTCTAGATTAACAACAATTCAAGAATAATTACAAACTCAATTATCTCAATCTCTTCTTACATATTAGTCAAATAAAACAAGTTCTTTACTCAACCCTATTCATTAAATAACATAGACCAAGCTCTTTAGATTTAATTTAACAAACGCATTACGACAAAAGTGAATTGAATTAAGGGTAAACTCGCAAACTCGGTTTACTAACTTAAGTGTTAATCCACCTACATTCGATTGAAAAATTTTCATAATCTATCGAAATGTAATTGCTATAGGATTTTAGAATCAATAGCTATTACATACTATAAATCCCACAATAGCATTTTGATTAGTGTGTTTTTACACACTTATTTGGTTCATAAACATGACTTAAACATGGATAAAATGGTTGAATTGTGACTTAATCCAGTTAAATTCATGCATTGTAGGTGATTCAATGGAAATTGTGGAATTCAGGAGAAAAGAGCCGAAGAAGGACCAAAACGCAACAATTTGATAGTTCGAGGACCAAAGGTGCAAATATTGAAAAGTTGAGCTAAATGCAAAACGAGAAGGAAGACATGCCAAGTATGAGCTCAATGACAAAGCAAAACAAATGGAAGAAGAAAATATTGAAGAGGGACTGAAATGAAGACAATTGAAAGTTGGAGGACTAAAGCGCAAATACTCAAAAGATATGCCGAATGAGGGGCATGAGAAATGATGGTATCAATCATCAATTGGAAGATAAAATTTGTTGAAAAGATGAAGAAATCGAAGAAAGAAGCCAAGAGAAGCAACAAAGAAGTTCAGGGACCAAATTGAACAAACCACATAGATGGTTAC